TGGACGACTTCTATGATGGTTTCTGGTGCTTTTATGATGAGGATGTGTCGGAGAAAACCGCAAACCATAGACTGCAGGATACACAAGAACAGATCTGGCCTTGTCCTCCGTTACGGCCCTCTTCTCGTCAGTAAGCTAGCGTGTGCTTCTGTGAAAGGTGGGAGCGGTTAAATGATGGCCAAGGCACTTTTTGATTTCTTTTATGAGAACTTTATGCAGCACTTTAACCATATCTGAGATGTCTTTACTCTTGATTTTTTTTTTTTTATTCCTTTTATTTTTATATTTTTCTATCTTCGAACAAGTTATTCATACTGTAAGTCCGTGCAATGCTTTAACGATTATGGTGCTTTAACAGAAATCTTTTTGTTGGCCAATTCATTTCTTAATGGAGTTATGCTTTATAGTGTTATGCGTTTTGGAATTTATATCCAGTGACGTTTCATATGGTCAGAATAATGTTACTGTCTTGATTTGTAGTATTAATGTGAACAAGAGGAAATTACATTTCTATTCAGATATTTCAATTTTTTTTCCTGTTTTAACCAGAAACGCCTCGTCCCGACCCTCTTTTAAGGCAGCTACAAATATCATATTCCTTCTCTGAAATGAAACCAATAAAAATTTCCCTTTTCTACATTTCCTTTTGTGTTTATTTATTTGGTAAAAACAGCAGATTCTTATGTTTCTGTGTCCTTCCCTTGGAATAAAAGCAGATTATTGACACTACATGTTCAGTTAAATTCAGTTTGGGCTAAACTATACATTTAAGTGATGTGTAATAGAGCACATGTGAAAGGAAAGATTGTTTTTAACAAACTTCATAAAAAAATTTTTTTTTAAATCTGATCATAAATTTGGACTGTATGCATATTTTAAGAAATTAATACTTCTATTCAGCAGGGGTGCATTAAATTGATCAAAAGTGTGAGTAAAGACATTTATAATGTTACAAAAGTTCAATTTCATATAAATGCTGTTCTTTTTAACTTTCTATTCATCAAAGAATCTTGAAAAATAAGAGAAAATAATGCAGCAGCACAACTTTTTTTCAACAACGGTAATCAGAAATGTTTCTTGAACAGCAAATGATTTCTGAAGGATCATGTGACTCTGAAGACTGGAGTAATGATGCTGAAAATACAGATTTGCATCGCAGAAATAAATTACATTTTGCAACATTCAAATAGAAAGTTATTTTAAATTGTAATTTAATTTTTACTGTATTTTTGATCAAATAAATGCAGCCTTGGTGGGCAGAAGACATTTCCTAATGACCAAAAAACGTTAAAACTGCAGTGTGCAGAATAACGCCGATGCCACACCTTTTATTAGCTGAGCAAAAGCGTTTGCCTTTTCCACTGGCATCCCAAAAAAATTGTGACTGTCAGCCGGAAATGCGTTTGATATGAATGTTTATTTAATGTTCAGCTTTGACCTCTGCCTTCATTTCTTTTCACTGCAACCAAGTTTCACTGTAAGCTACTTTCAGTTTTATTATTGTAAAATAAAAATCCAAAATCTGTTTCTGTATCTATCAAGCAACACGGAGCACATCCCAACAGCTGAAGGAAATCAGGGGGAGCGTTTATTTCCAACATCAGTTGAGACAACATCGCCCCTTCTGCAAATGAAGATACCTTCGTTCAGATGGCCTTTACTGCTACAGTACGGCTTCTATGATAAACAGCAGAACCTCAATACCATACAGCCTAATATTAAAATACAAAAAATATTCTTTGCATATCTGTTGTCATGAACTTTTAAAAACAGTACCTGCAGACTGCTTTATTTAGCCATACCCATGCAGGCTTATATACTAATAAAATCATACACGTGTGCATTAGTATATCACTGTGCTGTGCTAATGAGTTTGGCTCCGATCTTAAATACTACTGTACACTGGCAAGGGAAACACGTACTACTCAATACGTACGTCACAAAATTTGGCCTGACTGTAAGACAAATGCTTAGTACCAAAACAAAATGTGTATGAAAACAGAACACACTCGCGCTCCGAAACAAACCGGTCCCAAAAATAAAACGGGGTTGACGAGGGGAGGGGCTTAAAAAAATGACCCCCACCCACCTGAAAGAAAAACAAAGAAAATGTAGCAACACAAGAACAAATTCAGTCCCCATAATGCATCTCTCTGTCTTCCCATCAGGGTCTTTGGTCCTTCAACACAATGTCACGAGGAACATGTCAAAAAAAACAAAAGCTGATGCTGCAACGTTAAAAGAGGAAAGTCCACGGATGGCCTGAGATGTGCTCATAAATTAACTGAAAGAAAACAAACACAAAACAAGAAAATGAAATTAAACTGAAGATGTAGAATGAAACATGCAAATAAACTTAAATGAATGGAAGTGTTAGAAACACAAATATACACTCATGTTGTGATATATGGAACAAATTAATGTATGATATACATTATCACATTCAAACAGAAAATAACACATTTAGCATATTTTATGGAATATCAGTCATTTTTTATTATCTGAAACGTGCTGCAACGAATATTTCAAAGCTACCTACATAATGCAAACCACATTAAGCACTCGAAACGCTCAGAGGTACAGAAGTTGCTCCCACTTTATTAGTTTATGGACCAGTTCTCATTATTAACTGTGACTTTTCCCTCAATACACTCCTAACGTGCTGCTTATTAATAGTTAGTAAGGTAGTTAGTTCAGGTATGGGGTACGCAAGTAATATGCATGCTAATAAACAACTAGTTAATAATGAGAATTGGTCCTTAAAATAAAGTGTTATCGCACATTTCCAACACGCTGGTAATTCTAAATGCAATAATAAAATGTGACTTTCTTTTTCTTTCAACAATGCAGTTTTGATCTGCTGTGACTTAGACCATATTCTCTGGTAAATTAGTGTTATGTGATTATATTAAAGAGCAAATGTCATTGGGTGGATCCATGTCAGGTGCAAACCACAAAATGGATGCTCTGTGAATGTTACACACAGACACCACCAATAACCACAAGATGGTGCTAGATGAGCTTCATTGAGCTGCAAGAGGTCAGAACTGGCCGCTGTCCTGAATTTAACTAATACTTTTGACAAAGTTGAAAATCAATGGTTCTTGGCAAAGTGCTGCTGAATCTTTAGAGCCGTGGCAAAAAAAAAAATAAGTTTATTCGGGATGGTCTTCACTGGCAGCATTACTATTCGACTCTTACTACTTCAGCAGTATAAATTAAGTACACTGTGTGCAGTACACAAATTTGTGTGTGCACTGAAAGTAATATCAGCCTGGCTTCTGACATCTTTCTTTTGAGATTATTCAATCAGGTGACCGAAAATCATATTTTGGGATGCATTTGGTTGCCAAAACATGCCAAAAATTGGCGTGACTGTTACATCCTGGATTTTAGCTACTTATTTATGCATGTACAGTGGTGGCCAAAATGATTAGAACTGGAAAATTAGAACCTGCTGAAAATATAGTGTTCTAATCAGTTTGACCAGCACTGTAAGAAGAGTTCATGATTTGGATTTTGTTTCACTGCACATGTAAGAACAGCTGAATCACTGCGCATGGACAAAAAAGGAAGGAAGGATAACTCACTTTTTCTTGTCTTTGTCCTTCTTGAGGGGCTGTGAGAGCGAGAGGGTCTCGGCGGCCACCTTCCTCCTGTTGAAGGCGTTCATCTCCTCCTCCAGCTCCCGTCTCTTCTCCTCCACCTTCCTCTTCTCCTCCTGGTGCATGCGCTTCAGCTGCTCGAACTTCTCATGTAACTGAGGAGAGACACACAACAAGTGAGCGTTATGCCAGACGCTTTGTCTGAACCTGCACTATTTCCACACTGACTTGCCAAGCAGGACGATTATGTGGCATGTCACTGGTTTTATTTAAAGGTCCACTGAAGTGACTAGAAACACGCAGCATTATTCAATGTGTTGATGTAATTTCAACTGAAACAGGAAGACAAGAACAGCAGCTCCACCCCTTTAAAAAAAAAGAAAAAAAAAAGGCAATAGCGTTTTGTTCACATCGCAGCTCGGCAAAGCCACGTTTGACAGCTTATGGCAGCCACAGTCTAATAGATTCAATATGAAACTGTTTCTAAACCAAACGGTGGTCATAATCATGCTGAGGATGTATAGTTTGAAAAGTGTGTAATATGTTGGTTCACGGCACCGGTGGCATCTCTTCTATTCGTCAGTGTTGTTTCTAATGCAGAGTCTGTCTAACCGTTCCTCCTCCTAATAAGCGCAGACTCGCGCTTATAACCCGCACTGTGCTATCAGGTTTGTGTGACAACGCAAAACCAGGCTTCCCTCCAATGGAAAGCACGTTTACACTGTTTGAATCGTTCCCTATACCCTGTATAGTCCACTACGTGCTCTTCAGCATGCAGAAAACACTAATTCTGTGAACAAGTGACTGATTTCAGCGTCAGCGTCTATTTATAGTGTAGGTGGCGGGACGCTTCAGATTCTAGAGAGCATTTGATTGGACAAACTCTGCTGAAGAGCAGGATGATGTCATCAAAATCATTGATCCATACTGCTGAAGTGTTAGACTGTAAGTTGTGAATCTTCTAAAATGCAAATGTTGTCACTGTTTTGGAGCACACTAGCTTACAGACAACCTTAAGGCTAACATACTCATACTAAAAGCTTCTATTTTGATTTCATGCGGACTTTAAGACGACTGGTTGGAGTCTGATGGTTGATGATTTTGATAAGTAGAATAAATCGTAATGCGTCAGGACTAACCTCTCTCTCCTTCTCCTTCAGCTCGCCCTCCGTCTCCTTCACTTTGTTCACAAACAGCTGCCGCATCTCCTCTTCCTTCCTTTGCAGGTCTCCAAGAAACTCTTTCCTTTTGGCTTCATACGTCTCCTGTAGACTGTAGAGGGGTCATACAGAATTTTATTAAATATTTTAAATAATAAAAGATTAATAATATTAAATATTATGAGTGTATTTAAGTATATTAGTGTTCACACCAACACACAATTGACCCTTTGCAAAGACCCGCCCCCTTAGTTACAGTTGCTATGTCCGACAAGCCACTAAACATTTTCTCACGCAGTGAAAAATACATGGTGGAGAAAAGAGGAAACTGACAACACACGACAGACAAGACAGAGCAGGTTACTTCTGGTATGAAACAAAGTCTCAGCTTTCAAATGTTTTTTTTAGAAATTCAAATAAATACCATTTT